ACACAGCAGGAAACAACAAAAGCTATTGCTCTGTATACATTTTAGCACGACACTGCCGTACAGTCCCGGAATTATAAAAGAAGTGTTCCGTACCAAACAGACCCAGAAACCTGCTACATCTCCTACCACACGCGCGGTACTCGTAGAGAGACATGCGCACAGCATTCTGTGGTTCACACTGCGCCAGCCTACAGACAACGGGGAGGCCCAGCAGCCGCTGGGTGCGCAGAGGTTATGTGGGAAGTAAAGACCACATCTTTTTAAGAATCATTCCCATTTTCCTGAAATTCTTAAAATGCAAAGGACGCAACAGTTCTCAGATTAAAATAGTGAGTAGGCCCAATTTGCCATCTACCTTCTTAGGTAACACTGAAGAAGAGCCAGTATCTTACTTTGGGAACAAGTAAATGCCCTTTTCATAAAAAGGGAAAAGAAAAATGTTTGTCGGAGGACCTAACGCTTTGCTCTCGTTTGTTTTTTGTCATTGTGATGCCACGCTCTGAGAATGCTGTCAACTCTTGATGGTACAAGAGAATTACTTCATCAATCAACAACTTATCACTAAATCCTCTCTTATCTGCAGCCAGTCCCTCAATTTAATTTTTTGTTGTAAAACCAGAAACTATCCATACACACCAGCAAAGGAATTAAACTTGGTATCTGATCATGTGATTCATTCTATCAGCCTACGGTGGCGTAGGCGGAATTCACGGTTCACAGGAGAGTGTTAATGGGATTCGTTTTCCGAAGCCAGTGCATCGTGGCCTCAGCACAAATAGCTGACACTGAGAGCCGGCCCCACCGTGAAGCTTTTGTGGAATATTCCTCATCAGCTTCCTCAGTGCTGGCACTTGCACTAACCTATAATTGGTTATACATTTTTGTCACGAGTTTCTTGTTACTGTCTCTAATCTTTTGTTTCAGTTTGTTTTTCTTTTCTTCACATGAAAAGAAATCTTTCGGCATTGAAGAAAAATGCACACCGACCAAGGAGTGCAGAACTTGAATGCTTCTTGGGACCAAAGCTTATTAATCACTCTAGTAATGTAAACTGTTCCACAAACTACATTATAATTTAAAAATAAAAATATTTTGATAAGGAAGGTTTCTGATTTTTTTTTTAAAAAAAGATCTTTTAGCATAACGAGTGAGCACTGATGCCTTTTCCCTTTTACTTGATTTTTAAAGTACACTGAATCACTTTATGCAGACATTTTTATATATACCTATGAAAGAACTGCCCCAAAATTTCTAATTGAAAAACTGGGGGAAGTGTAGGTGGAGTTGACATTTTTAATATATTTCCCAGGAGAGAGAGAAAAGATACAGCTATAATTTATAGAACACCTGTCCATTTGCTCACAATTTCCTAAACTACAAAATGGTACCAAATAAATTACAACAGATATTTTATTAAAATTGATGCTCATCATAATAGACTCATTACATAAGGAGTCCACAGTGGCCCACCTCCCTCAGCATTGAGCGATCATAGGCCCTGACGCCCTCCTTATCCAGAGCTGGCTCTGAGGACCCACCAAGCCATTGGAGAGGCGGCCGCCTCGTGTTGGTTGGCTCCACTTCCCCAAGATGCCCACGCACCTGGTTCTCAGACGCCTCTCCCTCCATGAACTATACTTCCATGCATAGTCTGGGTTCTAAAACAAAGTACTTCATTGTATCCCCCACGTGGAAGCGTCAATTCAAGAGAACAAACTCATTAAGAAGTTACTTCCATATTTTCTGCAAATAACTAAAAAAAATTAGCTTCTCAACAGATCAGGAAAAAAGGTAATGACAAAAAACATTCTCATGGAGGAAAAAAGCAAGAACAGTGCTTTGTAAACGTTTCTCATAAGACTATGGCATAAAAGTTTTAAAAAATAAATTTCAGGTTTCTCTAATTACCTACTGGCGTCAAATTTTACATAATCTCTCTACTAAATCCCATTTTCTGCATCTACCTGCATCTAAGAGAACAGGAAGCCCAGAAATTACTTGTAGTAACTGAGAAATATGTTAAATGAAAATTATAGCATGTAGCAAAATTAAGCAAAAGCATAAGTAAATGTAACAACATAGTTACTCATTTTACTATAAACACTTTTGTCAAATATATTGTTGAACAATGTAGCGAGGACACATCCTTATGAACTGATGCTACTGTTACAAATGGAAATTTCTCCAAAATAAAAAAGCACCAAAGTAAATTTCATGAAAATAACTGATATTCATGGTTTGGAAAGTTCCTTGTGGCAAGATTTTACAATGGAATAAAAACGTAAAACTTGTGAATGAAAACCATTTACATTAGTTAAGGCACATCTGGCCATCTCCAGGCATTCACATGTATAACTGTGTTAACTTCAGTAATAAGGGGTTTCTAAAAACACAGCCTGTCCCTGAACGCAATCTGCTGGGTGGGCTGCAAACTAGAACAGGGAAGGAGGCAGGGCAGTACTGTCACCCTAGACATTACCCACACAAACCCGTTCACGTAATAAACACCACAGAATTCCAAGTGGGAAGAACCCCACAGACGTACACTCCTAACTTTCTAGATCAGACACATTAATCCCAGCCATCATTGTCTGCAAGTGCACCTACATTTGAAATGATTCCAGCATGTCTTAGAACTTGCCAGTAACTCCTGAGTTATACGTTTTATTTTTCTCCTTGCAGCTGATAAGAAGTAGTCTTCAAAAACTAAACTTAAAATAAAATTATACAAAGTTTTTGAACTGAGGACCAAACCTGATTTAGATAAAGAGGAGACATTTTCACTTCTACCATGATTCTTTTGAATTTCATATGAGATCAAGCATGAACACATATAATGATACAATACCCTTAATGTTATAAACCTTGACTGTACTGACACATCTTATAATTATATATCACTTTATAATATTTCAAAATATTGTCACACATATCATCTCCTTAGAGATATGAAAGCACAAAATATTAGAAATGCACTAGACTAACCAAGTGATACAATGTCAATTTGCCATGAAGTACAGGTTAGTATTTTATCCACAGCCAATATATAGTATCCTCACAGTATATGGTATAATAAGAAGTCTATATATTTGCAAAGACTCAGGAATGTTTCTAGCCATGCTTCACTGCATTTTTATAACAGCTTCTCGGTAAATTTCTGTAAGCATTTGGTAGTGGTTGAAGATACCAAATAGCAGAGTCAAACTGAGAGGGTTGTTTTCATATCTCAGACACACATAAATACATATCTATAGATCTTATTCTAAAAACTATTAAATATACAAAGTACTCTTAATAGAAAAAATTCTAGACACTCATAGGTTTTATCTGCAAAAGAAAAAACAGCCACTTGCTCTCCACTGAATAATCCTCTCATAAGTCACTTCCAGGTTAAATGCAGGCATCACACGGATGCATGAATACTCATTCACAAAAAAACATGGTAGGGAAAGGCCAGTTTCAGATAGAGGCCTGGCAGTTTTTCCCTTGAGACAAAGTGTCCTCAAATTAAATGGCATGATCCAATCACACCCCTAATTACGAATATTCTCAAAGTTAAATTGTTGACTAAAATGTTTTATGTCTAAGGGTTCTGATATACCACAGTTTCTAAGTAATTCAGATGATAGCCACTTATTTTAATATCTGCCCACTGTTTACTATCTTAATATGTGGTCACAAGTTTTTAACATTATGCACTTAAAAAACAGTTTGAACACTTTATCATGTGCACAAAATTGGTGAGATGTTTTGAATTAAATTAATCATATTTCTAAAAGTCAGCCAAATGTGACACCCTGTTCTCACCCCTAACCCTACAAAGCTGTTTACTGAACTCTGTGGGGACAGTGTTACAGTAAACACCACATTAGAACCCATTTTTAAAAAAGAAATTGAAACACAAAGGCAGAACTGCTTCCCCAAATCCTAATGATCGCTTCACAAAACAGTAGAAAGCAAAAACTGGTATATTTTGGGAACCAAAAATGACAAATATTCTATATTTATTATAATATGATACACAACATGAGCGTTACTAACATTTATATAAACAAAGTCAAGTCTGAGCAACTGTGATGTTCCTGTAAACTTCAAAGCAATAAAATCGTGTTTCTAAAGGCATATTATGGGTGTGTTTATTTTCCAGAAATACTGTGCTTAAAATCCTCTGACCAATAAATTTAACAGAAGATGATACATGATGTGATGAGTAAATAGGACAGTTAACATTCCCTGGGGGGGAAATAGTACTTTTCTCAAAATCCTAAGAGGCACACAAAAGCCAATTTTTTTCTAAATAAAATAAAATGAAAAAGTCTTTCCTACTCATTGCTTTATTTGTATGCATGCTTTGAAGTTCTCACCACAGTGTTTCTGATTTTTCCTGATGTATAATAATAATTAGTTAACACATTACAAGAATGAAATTATTTGCTCGTGACCAATATTAACACATTAAGTGCTTATTAAAACCAAGTACATGGAATTTCAAATCTGTTCTCTATCTTAAGGTTTGCCAGTTTAGAGATGCAACAAATTGTAGTCCCTTGAAAAAAGATCCACATAACACTGAGATGTTCCAGGTTTTAGGGACCACTGCCTTGTTGCCAGTGCAAGAAGTATGCCTTTTAAAAATAAATAATTTTCTGCCCTGGCTTCTGTAGCTCAGTGGATTGAACACAGGCCTGTGAAGCAATGGGTCGCCAGTTCAATTCCCAACCAGGGCACATGCCTGGGTTGCAGACCAGGTCCCCAGTAGGGGACACATGAGAGGCAACCACACACTGATGTTTCTCTCCCACTTTCTCCTTCCCTTCCCCCTCTCTAAAAATAAATAAATAAAATATTTTTTAAAATAAAAATAAATTATTTCCTTTCTTATTTTTTTAATTCTTTAGTCATTTGCATTCAGAAACACGTACCAAATTTATATAGAACCACCACAGAAGGCAAAATTTTTTCTTGGACTTTTGCATCAAAAAAAAAATTTAAGCACTTAATACAGAAAACAACTTTATTGTTTCAAGCAAAGCAAATTCTTGAAATCACACAGTGGAAAGTTCCCCTCTGTTCCACTTCAATGTTAACACAGGAGTGCCCCCGAATGCACAGGAGGAATGCAGGTTCAGGAGGGGGAGTGCAGAGGGGGCGGGGAAAGGCCGAAAGACTGACAAATGGGCCGGAGGGATCACAGCTTCCCCAAGATATCCATTTCATCTATCGGGATGTCAAAATAAACATGTTGAGCTGTCGTAATAATAAAAAAAATCCAAATTACTTTCTGATTACATCTGAGAAGACCAGATTCTTCCAGCTTAAAAATAATTAACCCATAAATCGGTCAAAGGTGTGGCAACATAGTGAAATTATCCTGTTGGTTTCCGTCAGGTAGACTATAATCTCTCGATAGAATTTATTTGATATTACCAATACTCCGTGACTATTTCCAGATACATAAAAATAATTATAAAATAATTATTGTGTACAGAATTTGTAAACTCACATCCTAAAAGTGTTACAGATCACGTTTTATCTTAAAGCATCTTATTAAACTTATTGCCATCCAAAACTTAAAGAAAACCACAACGAAATGCTCACAACATAAATCACAAGCAGATGGCTACAATGTGAATTGAAACATGACCCGTGTTCTCTAGGAAAGGCTGCCCCGCAACTTTCTCCTGCCTAACCTACCCTGCTTGGTGGGGTTCCGATAATTCCCTGTGACAGCGCATCATCCTGAGAGCCTGGACTTCCAGGGTTCTCACAGTCTTTGTTATGATTTTCACCTTCTTCGCCTTCTTCAGGAGGCGGTGCACTCTGCTTTTCCTCGGTGGGATCACTCGTTGTTTTTTCTGGTAGAGAATCTGAGTGCTCGGCGTTGCCGTCCTTCTCGGCGCTCCTTGGCCCGGCAGTCTCGCTGCTGGGCTCGGCGCTGGGCTCGGCGCTGGGCCCGGCGCTGGGCCCGGCGCTGGGCCCGTCTGTCTCCTCTCCGGGCTCCCTGGGTGCCACTTTCTTTTCTTCAGCTGCTTTGCTAGTTACGTGAGCAGCTGAGGAGGAATTTTTGGAGTCCTTAGGTTTTTTGTGCATAGAAGTCTGACTGGAGGTGGGAGGGGAGGGCATTTTCTGGGCTTTGCTTCCTTCTGACTCTTCTTTCCTAGGTGGCCCCCAGATAAAGTTCTCTGAAGGCGTGTAATGTTTCTGGGCGAACCGCAGGAGCTTCCTCCTTTCCCTTCTGTCTCTAATTGTATAAACAAAATACTCCAGAGCGCTCTGCTTAATATTGGGAATAGTATTTTCCACGAGAGCTTCATGAAGAATAAATTTTACAAGAGGAGATTTAAAACTTTCATATCCAAGCTCACCAAGGCTTTTAAGAATACGGGTGATTCTTAAGTAGTTGTGCTGGGACCTAGAAGAGAGGATTGAATAAAATGAGGGGGCGGGGAACCAGGTGCAGGAAAGCAGGGGAATAAAAGCTGCTCAGAAAATATTTTGTGTGGAACTTTAAGCCATGGAAATAAGCCTTGTAATGACTTCACTGAAAGTCATATTGGAAACACCATTAAGAAAAATAAATTACAAGGTATTAAACCCTCATACTTCAATGTAATATTAATTCATATGCAACTCAAACATATAATATACATTTCCTTGTTTCTTAAGGTCTTCATATTTGAAAAATATTTAGATTAAAATTTATTCCCATTGCTGTTGAATTACTGTGTGTTTCTTAAATATACTGAGGATTAGTGATCTACTAGAGTATTTATTTGCAACAACAGCACTGTACTGTACCTTGCACGGATAACCAATATAAAATCCAAACACGATGTTAGCTATTAACTGAATGGTATGATCTGTACTATCAGCTGGTCAGCAAAATCTACCCTATTAGTCAACGCCTAAGGAAAGCAGGAAAAAACACTCTTACTAGAACAATTCTGACAAAAGATGCAACACTGACTGCCTTGGCAGAGTGTAGTTTAACAGTGAGGGCCGGGCCTCGGAGTCAGACCTGCGTTTCCACCTGGCTCTGCCACACACAGCTATGTGACATGACAATGGCTCACTGAGGCTGTATCCTCATTTGCTGAACTTACAATGAACTGTTGTAAGAATCAAATACGCAGGTCACGCAGACCTCAATAAATAACAGATAGTATTTAACATTAATGTTAATTATTTTAAAATGTGGTATTAAGAGCCACCACGTTTGTACCTATTCCAACTTAATAACTTAATCCTTTTCCATCCCTGGCGTCTCCGTTCCTCTTTCCCTATCAGAGAATTTTAGATTTTCCTTCCAATGATGCTGATTCCAAAGATGCCTTTTGCCCCAGATTGCACTATGATCTTTCTCCTCTGTCCCAGTAGTAAGACCATCGAGGTGAATGCTTCGCAATCCCATCCTGTCACAAGGCACAATCTACTTCCCCCACTTCACTCAGCCCAATAGTTAGCTGCCTCGTTACACATGCCTGGCTGCATCCTAAAGGACCTTCAGGTCCGTCTGGCAGCCATGTGTTGTCAATAACAGCCCAGGTTATTTGTTTCTCCAATATCGCAACACAGCCATAAACACTGGTCATTTCTAACTTCCTAACACCTGTTTTATACCTCAGACACTATACTCTATACAAGCATTGCATATACCTGTACTGGCTTCCAAAAGTGCTTCAAGAATTTCACTTAGAACTAAGTAGCAAATTATTTGGGAACAATGGAGAAGGATGTTAATGAATTAGCTGAGGGAAACAAGGAAGTAGTTCTAGGATCTCACATTTTAATAAAAGAGTCTGGAAAAAACAAATACCTTAAAGGATTTAAGCTAAGCAAACACTAGAACAGAGAAGTCCAACAGTGTTTATCATCACCACCTGTCAGGATATTTATCAAATAGTATCAAAAAGTATCATTATCTTCATATTCAACTCTCTGAAGGCAAAGGATGAAACATAGCACAGATTATATCTCAGCCTTATGAATCTGAACTTTATTATCGTTAGGAAGTAAGGGTATTTTGAGACAATACAAATTCTGTTGAAGTTAAGACAATGTGCCATTAAGGGCAGAATTAACTTAGTTGTTAGGTTTAGTTGTTAGATTCTGTATACTCTAAGAAGTTAGTGGTAAAACTCTTGGGCATCATCAGCCTCATAAATCTACAATAAAGAGAAGCAAGGAAAAGTAAAAGAATGTTTTTTTAAATATTAATGATGAGTTACATGGCGTAACAAAATGTACTATATTTGCAATCAGCTTAATTTCACCTCTCCAATCCAAAATAGCCAAATGGCCAAAATAACATTTTTTGTACACATTTATCTATATCTACACATTTTCCAATTAAAAATATTTATATAATAGTAGAAAAGGACAAAAACTTGGGTTAAAGAGAATAAAGATCAGTATTATGGAACAAAATTATATAAGAAATAAACTGGGTGTTTCATATGACTTGAAATAAATGTCACAAACAAAGACAAAATGGAAGAAGAGTAGCTAAAACCCTCCGAATACTATGAGCAGTCTTAGGGGTTATGCCCCAGATAAGCAAGAGATGCTGGACTTCAGACAGAGGCAAGGGCTCTCACTGTCAGGAAGACCAAGTAGGTGAAGAGAGAACACACAAAAGGCAAGAACCAGGAGACAACCAGAATGTAATTTTAGGACAGTATAAATGTAACTACTCCTTAACTGTTAAGAAGCTGAAATTACATTTGACCCTTTGAAGGCAACTGGGACCCTGATGTGGCCCCCAGTGAAAATGAGTTGGACACCTCCGGTCTAAAATATGGCTCAGTCACCTAGGGTGATCACAGACAAAATTGGAAATACATATTAGTGATTGGCAGCATCATGTTTGAAAGTGTATCACTTCTTTTAGTCATGGTCACTTTTTCACTGAACATTATTTCATTCAGTACTTTTTGTCTGCCGGGCTATTATATATAAATAAAGTTCCCTACCTACTCTAATAAGCTCCAGATAGCATATAGATTAAAACACAAATAAGTTATGACATTTAAGGATAAATCAGAAAAGAACCCAACTGAAGAAAAAAATGGAAGAGAAGTCTTCCTATAATCCCCTATAATTTGTTCAAATCTAGTCAATATAATTTTTTGGTAACTAAACCTCAAAGGATAGTTGTTTTCTGGAAGATTTCATGGCAGTTCACAGCTGGAAAAGCTCTATGCAATAAGCAGGGAAAGGAAACAGAGAGATGACGGGTGGTAGGAGGTCAAGGAGCTGGATGAGGCAGGGAAGTGAGACAAGACAGCTAGCTAGTTCAGGCTGCTCTCCCCGACTCAGCCCAGGAGATCGTTTAACTAAAACCTTCATCAGGGCCGTCTGCAGCTATCAATGAAAGGATCTGACAATATAACCCCAAGGACGACTGAAGCTGACAAACATTATGTTGTTCATCATTTATTCATTCAACAAACATCTGCTAAACAAGATTGCTATTCCAACCAAAAACAAGTTGGAGACAGAGATTCTCTAAAACGATAAACATGAGTACAAGAAAGATGAGGTACTATCAGATCCTCTCCAAAGATTTACTTCTGCCATCCTGCAGGTCAACAGGCCACTTGCATTCAGCTTTCTTTGACAGTATGGCATAGCTGCTTAGAAACTTTGTCCCAAGCGAGCTACCTGCATGGCTTAGGCAGGGGCTTACATACTTCTGCTTTAAGTGGCCCATCTAATTCAAATTTAACTTGATTTATGAGTTAATGGGTCTTCTAATCAGGACCATTAAGCTTTGTGCCCACATCATCAATTTTAATATAAGCCACCATTTTAATAGTGTTGACTATAACTAATAACGTAAAGAAAGGTTTAAACATTAATACTTATTTTACTAAAGCAAGATGAAAGTTCTAGGTACACACAAACATTTTAGTTAATTGATGCACAAAATTTTGATTTGTTTTGGACAAGTAAAAATTTCTTAGGTAATTTAAAATTTTTTTCTTTTAGTTCCTGCCCAGTTCAGCTAATTAACATGTGCTAAAAAAAATGCTTTAAAGCTGTTGGTTTTATAGTCCAACTTGTCTCACAAGTCACCCTATAATTAAAAGGAAAAGAGCCAGCTTGAATGTAAAAAAAAGCAAGAAAAATAAACTTTAGATACAATATTAACGAAAGTTATAAATATCTCAGCAAAAGAAGAATGCAAAGCAAATCCAAATAAACTATTACAATTTCCTTCATAGCTTTTGAGATTTATTAACCAAAAATGGCCTTTGTTTTTGACCTAAATAGCATAGGCTCTAATTTTCCCTCTTTTTTAAGTAAAATGTATGAGAGCATCTCAACCTTACAAAACGATTTCTATGTCATAGGCTTAGTTCATGGATGTACTCTAAGGCACCATGCTTGAGGAGCAGACTATGCCACAACAAGCTGACAACCTAGTAGATGGGATTCAGCAAACCATACCCAGACAGTAACGATAAATGCCAAGACACACAGTGCAAACAGGGAAAGAGGCCATGCTGACTGTGGGCAGCGGACAGCTTACAGGAAGAAACAGCTTGAAGCTGAGCATCCAGATTCCTACTTATAATTTCGTTCTTTTTTGTTGTTCAGTTTTGTTTTAGAATATAGAGCAGAGAATAAGACGCATTTCAGACTAGCTTCTGAATTCAAATCCCTGGCTCCATCTGCTAGTTGTGCTTGTGTTCTGCAGAGAATCCCAACCCTGGGAAAGGAACATGCTGGCCTGATGGACCGCGAGGGCTTTACTTACTCATTCAGATGCTGAAACCTTTCCTGCCAGTTAACAGCCCGAGCAACATTTCCAGTTTTATCAATCAGTTTTATTCCAAAAAATTCTAACATCATTTTATAAGCCAGGAGAAATCTTCTAATTGCTTCTTTTGTTTTTTTGAATTCCTAATGAAAAGAAAAAAAGTCAGGTGAAATGATTCAGTACTTAACGGGCCAATAAAATAGCAATATTATTTGGCCATCTCATATAAAATAAAATGAGCTTGCATTACCTCAATTTCATATGTAGTTAGTTCTTTAGCATAAAAGTTCAAGCCTTGTTCTCGCAGGGGAAAAAGCCTATTTTTTAGAAAAATAATACTTATTAATGTAGTCTGGCAAGCATAATCATTAAACAGGACATGGTTCAAGACAGGTAATGTGCAACTGACCATTGAATGTAAGTGTGGTTGTGCTCCAGCTTTTCATAATCTCCTTTCCACTTATTTAGAACTTCTTCAATGTAAACGCCTACAGAGTAAATATTCAGAAAGTGAATGAGACATTTAAAATATTGTTGAAGGCATTTTATCACTTAAACTTTATATTAAACTTTTAAAATATTAGTAATACCACTCAAGATAAGGCTTTTATTTTTTTTAATGTATTTTATTGTTATTACAATACTCTCATTTCTCCCCCTCTGCCCTATACGCCCCTCCCACAAGCATTCCCTCCCTTTAGTTCATCTCCATGGCTCATACATAGAAGTTCTTTGGCTCCTCCATTTCCCATACTATTCTTAACCTCCCCCTGTCTGCTTTGGTTACCAGCTAGGCTTATTTCCTGTACATTTACCCCCATTCTCTCCCCCCTTCACACTGATAACCCTCCATGTGATCTCCATTTCTGTGATTCTGTTCCTGTTCTAGTTGTCTGCATAGTTTGTTTTTATTTTGGGGTTTTGTGGGGTTTTTTGTTCAGTTGTTGACAATTGTGAGTTTGTTGTCATTTTACTGTTCATATTTTTTATCTTCTTCTTTTTCTTAGGTAAATCCCTTTAACATTTCATATAATGGCTTGGTGATGACGAATTCCTTAAACTTGACCTTATCTGGAAAGCATTTTATCTGCCCTTTCATTGTAAATAATAGCTTTGGTGCACAGAGTAAACTTGGATGTAGGTCCTTGCCTTTCATGACTTGGAATACTTCTTTCCAGTCCCTTCTTGCTTGGAAGGTTTCCTTTGAGAAAGATTATCAGCTGATAGTCTTATGGCAACTCATTTGTAGGTAACTGTCTCCTTTTCTCTTGCTGCTTTTAAGATTCTCTCTTTCTTTATCTTTAGTCTTGGGCATGTAATTGTGATGTGTTTTGGCGTTGCCCTCTGTGGGTCCAACTTCTTTGGGACTCTCTGAGCTTCCTGGACTTGTATGTCTATTTCTTTGCCAGATTAAGGAAGTTTCCTTTCATTATTTTTTCAAATAAGTTTTCAATTTCTTGCTCTTCCTCTTCTCCTTCTGGCACCCCTATGACCCAGAGGTTCCTAAGCCTCTCCTCGTTTTTTGAATTCTTGTTTCTTCATTCTGTTCTGGTTGGATGTTTCTTCCATCCTTCTGCTCCGAATCAGGTTTCCTTCCCTTCACTGTTGCTTCCCTATTTTTCTTTATCTCACTTGGCATAACCTTCACTTTTTCCTCTACTCTCAACCATGCTCAACCATTTCTGAAAGCACCCTGATTACCAGTGTTTTGAACTCTGCATCTGATAGGTTGGCTATCTCTTCATAGTTTAGTTTTATTTTTGAAGCTTTGGTCTGTTTTTCATTAGGGCCATATATATTTTTTGTCTTGGAGCAGCTGTTATAACATAAGGGACAGATCCTTAGGCATTCACCAGGGCAGGGCAACCCAGGTTACTGTGTTGTGACACCGTATGTGGGGGAGGGGTCTAAGAGGGATCAATGCCACTTGCTTGGCTTCCAGCTGACTTTCAGTCACTTCCCCCACTTCCCACAAGCAAATTGGATCCTTCTGGTGCTGACTCCTGGGTGGGTAGGTTTGTGTACATTCTAGGACACTGTGGACCTCTCCAACAAACTCTTCTGTGAGGCTTGGAGTTTCTCTCACCACTGCAACCCCCATAGGTTTTTACCGCCAGAGGTTCTGAGGCTTTATTTCCCTGCACTGGAACCCCGGGTTGCCTGGTCTGTGCCACTCCCCAGCTGTTCTTCCCATTTATCCGCATGCAAATGTGGGACCACCTGGTCTCCCAGCCACCACCTTGCTGGTTCCAATCCACCAGCTGCCGCCTTGCCCAACCAGGTCCTTCAGCCACTCCCTTGCCACAAGTTCTCTCTGCCAGGTTTCTGCCTGTCTCTGCCCCTCCTACCAGTCTGGATGAATGTTTCTTCTTTAACCCTTTGCTTGTCAGACTTCTATACAGTTCAATTTTCTGGCAGTTATGGTTGTTTTTTATTTTTATATTTGTTGTTGTCCTTCTTTAGGTTGTGCAAGGAGGTAAAGTACATCTACCTACACCTATATCTTGGCCGCAAGTCAAGAATAAGGCTTTTAAAAGATGAATTCCCTGTGCCATATACTTAGTTACATAATAAGCCTAATTTATTTTTAAAGCGACACCCCAAATTGCAGAAAGTTCTATTGAACAATGTTACTATAACATAGAGATTGGCAAAGTATGCTTTGACATCTGTTTTATAAGTAAAGTTTTACTGGAACACAGCCATGCACAAATGAGTAATATTCGCTTATGCATTTATACTAGAACAGCAGAGTTTAGCAGCTGCAATAGAGACCACATGGCCCACAAAGCTGAAAATATTTACTATCTGGCCCTGTACAGAAAAAGTTTAGAATACAGTCCCTATTCCAAAGAGTCATGTAGTTCTTTAAATACCAGATAGGATCAAAATGAAATGAATCCCAAGGAAAAAGAAAGGAGGGAGGAAGAGAAAGAGGAGACAAGCAAGGAAAAGAGAGAAAGAAAAGGAGTAATAAAAAAAAAAAAGGTGTTGAGTACCTCCTATATGTTGGGCCCATAATATATTCAATATATGATGTATACACACACATATATATATGGTATATATACATACATATGTGTGTGTACATATATATCACCTACCTTAATTTTCACAGACCTCTCCCAAAGCAGTGTTATTATCTCCACTTTACTAATGAGGAAATTGTATGATTTGTTCAAAGTCACACACTAATAAAAGAAGAAATGTAGAAATAGGACACAGGTCTTTCTGGTTTCAAAAAGTGAGCCCTCTTTACCACATTCTCTCATTCCCTTAACAGGGGTGTCCAACCTTTTGGCATCTCTAGGCCACACTGTAAGAAGAATTGTCTTGGTCCACACACTAAAGATGTTGTGACATGTAATTACAAAAAAAGACCTCATAATGTTTCAAGTAAATTTACAGTTCTGTGTTGGGCCGCATTCATAGCCATCCTGGGCTGCGTGCAGCTTGTGGGCCACAGGTTGGACACCCTGCCCTAGAAGAACTTATTATAACAAAATCTCACTTCGATCTGTCTAGGTCTTTTTAATTGTCTATTTGGCTATTTAGTCACTCTTGTAGAAAAGAAGCATAATTTAATATTTCTCTAAATATAACTTATTTTTGTCTCCTCCAGAAATCACCTGTTTGTAGTAGAGGGTCACTCTGAAAAGGTTTGGTAAAAAGTTGTTTTTGAATCGTCCTGTTGGCTTTATCAGCAGGTTTAAACCATTTACCTCCATAGTTTCCTATCTGTTTTCCCTTCCAACTGCCCCCTGTCTTATTTAATAAGTAAAATACATTACTATAGACTTATTATGCTTATTGTCATATATGTGTGTGTGTACACATACTAGGGAGGAAAGTGTGTGAGTTGAGGTCATTTATATTTAATAAACTAGAATAATATTTTATGTGACCCTAGCTAAAATTTCTGACCTTACAAGATTTCCAAATAAATTTTGTGATAAAGATTACAAGAAAAATGAATGCATTTCTTAAAATTATTCCTTTAATTTACTACCTCCTATATAAACCAACTATTAGAAATATAAAAATAATTCCGTTAAATACTATCATATCTCTGTGTGTAATGTTTTTACTATTTGAAGGTGTTCCTTTAGGTAAATTTTAGTAAATTCAAATCAGAGTCAAATAAACAATCTATCATTGCATTTCTTCAAAAAGTTTTCTTACCCCAAATTACAAAAAAATACTAATAGTTATTTAACATTATTTCAATTAATAAAAAATAAGTATGTTTCTACAGTTCGTAAATACAACAGAGCATTTTAACCCAGAGTTTTCCTTCCAAATCAGAGCAGATTTTGGGGACACTAGAAAGTTAGTTAAAGACAAGTAGATCTAGTCATTTCAGCAACGTTAAGTCCTACTTCCCAGATGGTGTGCTTCTCAGTTCACAGCACAAAGAATTCCTCCCCCAAACACTCCACCCAGCCTTTAGATAGCCTTCCTCCACTTAGTTCACCAAGGAAGCAAGGTCCTGCCACTTGAAAGTTCTGTGATGCGTGACCCGTGTTCCTGACTCACACTGCTATGGTTTTGGCTCAATTTCCACTGAGACCCAGGGCTATTTCATCCCCTTAGAGAGATAAGGGCTCTAAGGAGAGAAGCCAGCTCTGCTGGTTTGACCTGGATAAAATCAGCAGCCCACTGTGAATCACAGCATGGTGCCTCACTGACATACGGATCCTTTCACAGTAGGTTTAAAAAAGACCTAGGAGGGCAACTGTGAAGTCTTGAAGGAGGCAAGTTATTTGGCAAAGCTGAATGGAGACCTACTGTATATGCAGTAGCTCCCTTCCCAGACTGGGTACTGAACTAGGATTGCCACAGCTCCCTGACTCCGGAATCTGAAAGTCTACAGGAAAGTTAATTCTAATATAAACATTGCCTTTCAATTATGTTCTAAATAATTTTCAGGTATGGCACTGTGGAAAGAATACTGAACTCTGGAACCTAGACCCTACTCCACAATTAAGTGACACAACAAGTCAGTCATTCCAGAGGTAAGACCTTGTGACCTTATATTTTAAATGAGGAAGCTGAATGTGATCTCTAAAATCCTTAATATTCTAATTTTCTAAAAATGGTTTTAGATTTTAAAAATGTCCTCTCCTTTCCACTCACAATAATGGCCCCCGCTACTTTTCAGACCACAGCCACTGTAACCAGGTGGCAGGAAGGTATCACTAATCTACAGTTATTCCTCCAGAATTTGCCAAGTGAATACTAACAATTCTCGGGTCTCGGACTTTGAGGACACATTAGATTGCACAGCAAAGTAAGTCTAGTCCACAAACAAATGTGTTGAGAATGTACTGACCATGTAATAAACAAAGAATAACTCAGTGTACTTATTCTTTAGACTTTGCTTCTTACCAATGTAGCAGATTACTCACCATCTGGCTTAAATGGAATTTTATTCTTATAAAAGCGAAGATTGCTCAAGTCATTTTGATATCGGATATCTTTGAAGTTCTGCTAAAGAAAAAAATAAATCAATCTCCAGCATATGGACATGTTTTAAAAAGCACAAAGACCCTTCTTGCATGTCTATTCATTGGCCACAGAATAAGAAAACAGAACAGAAATATTTTATAATCATTTTTAGGAAAAAAAGCATTCCATATCTTACTGGGTACTGGTGTCGATATTTGTACAAATCCCTCGCAGCATAAAAACTTCTCTTTGGTTTGGCAGTTGCTTCTGTGGAATCAGCAGCCTAAAACAAAAGGTGAGGTTCCATTCACATGTTGCAGCAAGAGAATTCCACTGAGAAATTTCCAGAACATAAAACAATGAACATCCGTAAGAAAGCCTAAAGAGTGTCAAGCTGTCCAGATCACTAAAAATATTATAATGTTCTTCTAATATTGTTTACTAACAACATTTGTGGGCATTCCACCTTCCTGATTTAAACCCAGTAACTTTTGTCCTAAGGTGTTTTACTAAATAACAAACTTTATTACTTACCAAAAGCTTACAGAGGCTAAATGTTAGGGATAAATATCCATCAGAAATAGAACTCAACATAAATTTAACACATATAGTTTACAATAGGTCACACAAGTGTTTCTATGGCAAAACTTATTTGAGAATACTGTACATGACACTAAAAAAGTAAGATAATAAGTCAATGCTACATAGAAAATTATCATTAATTTTACAACATTATCTTCATTTGGGAATCAAGTAATTTATGTAAGAAAAAGAGGCTTTTAAAACAAACTAAACAGCTTTCTAAACTCCATCCTTCATAGCACCATAATAAGTACACAAAGGCATGAAAATAGTGTTGATTCACTGATAATACCATGTAATATAAACTAGCAAATTTAAAATATATGCACACACAGAAATGAAAGCTCTCAAACGGAATGAGCTTCAGATTGTTAACGACTTATATGTAGTAGTTTTTGATATTACTTATGTTCTGAAGAAAATACCCAGCACCATGAAGTAATTTTTAAAGTGTGAGATGTAGATCAATGTAACTGATTTACAGTCCATGTGTACACTAAAGAACACTACGCTGCGCAAGTACAAGTGCCCAGTGTCTCCCAACAGGACAACGAGACTGACGACAAGGACGAGCCTTTCCTCATCATCCCCTCTCCTATTCCTATTGAGACTGGTATCCTATAAGCAATTTTTGAAGTGGTATAATTGTCACTATTACTACAAGTACAGAGATACCTTAATACCACATCTCTGATGTTCAACATTCGCTACTCTATCATGTTACATAAACAAGGAAAAGTTTAAATTCTGCTCCTTGCCACACATTTCAAAATAGCTCTGCCTAGCAAGTTTCTGAATCTATTTAATCTGAGCTACAACCATATGAATCATCATCCTACATTTGTATAGAAAGCACTTTTGCATTTACAAAGCACTTACGTATATATTATTTCATTTGATTCTTCAATACACCTCGCTGGCAGATATTAGTGTTTCCATCTTAGAAACAAGGTAACCCAAGCTTAAAGAAGTTCAAAGAGACCCAGAGCTCAATGACAGGAAAGGAACTAGAATTCCATGATCTGAGTTCACAGTCCAACTTTAATTAGGTACAAATCAATTTCAGCTCCACTGTAAGTAAAGGATTCACTATTTGGTATCATTTCAACAGCCCAAGCCTCAGAAGCAGTCTTGGGCTCAGTCTCAACTCTAAACCAAGGAGAGCCCTAGGCTTAGACATCATTCTTCACCACTCCTTGATGACCTGGTATCTTCCCATGACTTTAAATACCATCAATCTTCTGTTTTAATTTTATTTATTTACTTATTTATTTGTTTATTTATTTACTTATTTATTTATTTATTCATAGAAGGGAAGGGAGGGAGAAAGAGTGGGAGAGAAACATCAATGTATGGTTGCCTGTCATGTGCCCTCAACTGGGTACCTGGCCAGCAACCCAGGGATGTACCTTGACTGGGATTCAAACTGGAGACCCTTTGGTTCATAGGCTAGCACTCACTCCACTGAGCCACACCAGCCGGGGCTGTAAATACCACCAATCTTATACACCGAGGACTCCAGTTTTGGACTGGGGTTCCATTGGCAGGTGTAACTAACTACTCAACTTTGATATGCAATAGAGTATCAAACTCAAGAGAATTTTTTATTTAACCTCTGAAGCTGCTTTCTCCCTAGACTGCCCCATCTGAGTTAATGGCAACATCACTTGTCAAACAGAGGTAGCGAGAAGCAGTCAGTTTGAGATAAATTTTAAAGGTAGCTCCAGTAGTACTTGCAAGTGAATTGACTGTGTGGAGTAGGGAACATATACGATTGATAGTCAAAAAGCAAAATAAAAAGAGTAGAAGTTAGATGGTGATACCAACAAGAAAAATTAATCATTAAAAGGAAAAAAAGAGGGCTGGTGTGGTCTACATTTACTGGGGTTGCAGTGAACTGATTAAAATACTAATTATCAAATTGGTTTACACAGATGGACCTGGTGTGTTTTGATAACTGAAACTTCTTTAGAAGGTTAATTAATTGGGAGACAAGTGGAAGGGGAAAAACTAGACCACAGAATACAGTGGTCTAGTACTTTCCTGGACTTGAGTTCACAATGCAAAATGACCCAGCAGCAAACCAGATCACGAGGCCAGAAGAATATAATTCCAACAGGTTAAAGATTCCGACATTGGTGACAGATATACCGGGGTTTGCATCATTCTCTCTCTTTGATCTTGAGCAAGCGTCTCTCTAGGCCTGTTTTCTCTAAAATGAGAATTAAAAACAGCAACTCCCACCCCACCTCCAAACTGCAGCTAATTGAAATAACTCCTATAGCATAGAGCTTGCACTAATACTTTGTTTCCTTCTGACCTAAATAAGATGATCAACAAGCTGTATGAGGCAGCCTTAGCTCTAATACTTAGGAGGTGATTCCTCTCCTCTAGAAAAGAACCCTGTGGTCACTTGTGACTTTCAGCTCCGTTGTTTTCACTCTCGTTTATTCCCACAGTTGGCAGAGAAGGGCCCAATGCAGAACAACAAACCTTGAATGCCGCCACAGTGCACACTTCCTCAGAGAGTGAGCTATACAGTTCCTCCTTTTTAAAGTTTTCTGAATTATTCTTAGTTCCTTCTAAGGTTATTTGGGATATTTGTCTTTTTACTAACCTCTCCCCCGAATTGAATTAGGTAAAATGATTAGCCACAGTTAGATCAACAAGTTTTCTGGGTGAAATAAGATTTTCAGGAGTGGCCTGAACTCGGCTGAAAGGCCTTACTTGGGGAAAAAAACTGTGACATTTTAACTTCGGGTGGGGGACCTCCAACAATATTTTAGAGGCTTTAGACCCCCCTGTGGGGGAGAATGTTTGCTTACTGATCAACTGCAGTCCCGCCTTATTCTGGGTCATTTTTACCAATAACACGTTCTAGACCGGTTTCCACAATCCTCTATTTTTAGACAGGTTCCTTCCACCCCGCCTTTGCCTCGTCCAGCTGCGCAGCGGAGGCAAACACCCGTTCAAGTTGGGTTCAGCCTTAAGGGACTTCCTCGTCGTGCCTGCGGTCAGGCCCCATGTTGGCAGCGATCAGACCGCGGCGCTAACCGCCACCGCAGGCCGGGGAGTCTGCGGGGCAGCAGGGCGGCGGGTGGCGCGGAGGGGTCTGGCCCCGAAGGGCGAACAGCCGCCCCGCGCCCCTGCCCTCCGCGCGCAGGCAGCCGGGCGCCCGCTCCTCGCGCAGGCGACGTCCTCCGCCCCGGCCCAGCCCGAGGCCACGGCGGGGCCGCGTACCTGCTCGGCGCGCGCCGCCTCGGCGTCCTCGTCCGGCGCGGGGCTGGCGCGGGAACGCCCGCCGGCTCGCTCCGGGGGCTGCGCGGGCAGCTCGGGCTCCTGCCCCAGGCCCTCGCCGCCGCCGCCCGGCCCGGGCTCCTCGGGCTCGGGCTCGGGCTCCGAGTCCGTCTGCCAGGTGGAGTCGCAGTCCTCCACGGTGGTGGGCTCGCGGAAGCTGACTCCGCCGAGCAGGTTGCCCATTGAAGAGGCGGCGGCGGGCGCGGAGCGGCGCGGCTGCGGGGCGCGAGCTGCGGCAGGCGCGTTACCGGGGCCGGGGCATGGCCGCGGCGAGGGCGCAGGGCGGCAGCCTCGGCGCGCCCGCCGCCGCACTGCCTCAGCGCAGCGAGCGGCAGACGGGCGCACTGGCGGGGAGGAGCCGGCGGCCCCGAAACGGCCGCCGCCGCCAACGCTTGAACCCGCCCATCTGGTTCCTTCTCCTCCCCTTGGGCGGGAGCCGGCGGGAGCTCGCGGCCCAGGGGAGCGAACTGCCCCACCCCTCGGCCCACCGCCGCCCGAGGCTCGGGGGACACGCCTCACTTTTCACTCTACACCCCGCTCCCAAGTCTGCCTCCTTTCGGCCTTTTCAGGTCCCCAGAGGTGGATCAGGGTCGGCTGTTAACCTGCCCCTTCTCCCGCTCCCACCCCCAGGCAGGCAGCACTGGCTTGGGACTCTTTCCCTCTGAGCGGATCCCGCCCAGCTCCGGAGGGCGGGTTGCGGTGGACCTGAAGTCAAGGAGGTGTCTCAGTCCGCAGGCAAGTCCTGTCCAAAGCCCCTCCCCTGCTCCCTGCTGGTTCAAGAGGAAGATAAATTAGCTGCAGCAGAAGACAAAAGCTAATGGTGACCGGATACCATATAAACAGAAAACGCAAACTATGAAGACGATTTAGGGCAGCCACCTAGAGTCCCTGTGGTCTGAATAAAGTCAAAGCTACCTGTCACCTCGTCTAATGAGCAAAAGTCTCTCAAAACAAAACAGCAATAACGACTAGACTTTCCCATTGATCTGCGGACAGTGTTACTAATACCCACTCCAAATTGGCACTCTGAATAGAATAAAAACTCAGAATCCTTAGCCCCTTCGTTTGATCTGCATATGAAAGGTAGGGAGGTAGGGGGTTGGGGGAGGGGGACTTACAGAAGTACTTAAAGATAAAATAAAATAGTGTGATCCAGTAAGTGGCCCAGGGAAAAGTGACTACTGTAAACTTTGTATTATGACCTTCTAACAAGAAGGAAAAGGTCTCAAAGGCAGGCATGTCTATGTGTGCAGAACTTCCTGGGTACTCAGTAGACATTTGTTGAATATGGTTAGATATAGTTTAGATAGACAAGATTAAACTGGTGCACTTAAAATAGTTTCTGTTTTTAATGTGTCATGATAAAATAGCATACGGAATCAAGGTTGGCTGGACTGTTTCTAGAAGAATCGAGGTGAACAGGATGCTCACTCCACAGATAAGTCAGGGTTTTCTGTCTTCAAGCAAGGCAGCAGGAGATCCCAGCTGTGGCTCTGTCCCGAATCAGCTTCTGACCTGAATTTCCTCATTTCTAAAGCTGGACCAGATTTTATCCCTGGCGTCCCTTGCTGCTCTCACTTTGTATGATTCATGGCTGGGCAAAAGCTCTAAAACTAGTAAGTAATAGACACTAGACACACAAAAATACTTTTTGGTCATCATGGCTTAAGTGAAGAAGAAATGGGGCAGCAGCAGAATTTCTGAACCTAACTGCTCATATGTGGAGACTTGGATTCATCTTCCATTGACAGAGGACCCAGAACACGTTGCAGAAGTAAATGCTGTCCATCGCCATGAACACTGCAGACATAGAAAATCTGGGGATAGTTGGTGTGCCCAGGTGCTCCATCAGTCAGTTTAGGTATGTGTAAACCAAAGGTGGCCTTATATTTTGTGTCCTCCTTCCACGGAAACAGAGAGTCAAATTCCCCTCCTTTTGAATCAAGGGCTGAACTCAGTGGCTTGCTTTAGAAAATAGAATATGAGGATTTTCAAAAATAGAATATCTGGAATCTTCAAGGTTAAGCTTTAAGGACACTGGCATCTTCTATTGAGGTCTCTTGGGACATACTCTCTGGTAGCCCTGAGCTGTGATGTAAGAAGTTCAACCACCTTGAGATTGCCATGCCAGAAAAGCCACTATGCCTGTCTTCTGGTCACTAGTGCCAGCTGAACCCTGCCTTCCAGCATTCCCTGCTGAATCCTCCTGTTTTTGGTTATTGTTGTTGGGGTTTTTTGATTCTCTAGACAAGCCCACTCACCAGCTGAATACCCCCCAGTGACCTCGCTGATGCCATGTGAAACAAAGGAACTACTCAGCAGAGCCCTGCTCAAATTCCTGACCCTCAAAATAGTGAAATATAATAAAAAGGCTATTGTTCAAAGTCACTAAGTTTTGCGGTGGTTTCTTATCCAGCAATAGGTAATGGAACAGTATAAAGTGTCTGTGGAAGCCTGGATGTGTTTGTGTATATAACCACTGCAATTAAGTCTTTACTTTTCCACCACCTCTTAGCAATTTTTATAGGGCTGTAGATTCTTGTGCTAAGTTGTACAACATATCTTCTAAGGAACATAATTTTACATGAAATAGTATAACAACCTTAAGTAATAACTTTAAAAAGTAAATATAATTGATCACGTTGTGTTGGGCACTGCCCTGCCTGGTTTCAGGAATTGTAAACTGTCTTCCATGTCTAAGACTGTGAGCAACTTTTGGAATGGGAGCCACTGAGGAGACAAGGCTTGTCTCTGGCAGCAGATGCTGCCCCTGCTTCATCTCTGTGCCCCCAAAGTATGGTCAGATGGTCAGAGACAGGTGAGACCCCCCAGAGGAGGGGCAACCCAGGCCAGACACGATCACCTGGGAGGCCATCATGGAAGGACTGTGGGGGGGGCCTGCGACAAAGAGGGAGTGATGGATCCTCTCCCCTGGGCTGTGACAAAGCCGGAGTCCCCATGTCCTCTGGGAGAAGCGCTTCCTGGCTCTAATCCACTTAAGCATAAAAACCTATGATGGAGCCCTGACTGGTGTAGCTCAGTGGATTGAGAGCGGGCCTATGAACCACAGGATCGCAGTTTGATTCCCAGTCAGAGCATATGCCTGGGTTGCAGGCTAGTTCCCAGCAGGGGACGCACGGGAGGCAACCATACATTGATGTTTCTCTCCCTCTCTCCTCTCCCTTTCCCCTCTAAAGATAAACAAATAAAATCTTTAAAAAAACCTATGATAGGGAAGGCGGTGCAAGCCTTGTGCTGGGAACGACGGGCTCCCTGGGTAATTAGGCCTGAGAAGGAATATGTGAAACCCTGTGAGACCTGCTTTGTGTAAGAATGCTTTTAGTTAGATGATAAGGGCCCAAGCAGAAGAAGAGTTTATGTTCCCAAACTTCTGTAGCCTTTTAGCTGACAGGCTCTGGTTTAGAAGAAACCCTAATGGTTCTTTGTATACGATCTACTGGTTACTGCTCGACAATGATTAATAAGCTGTACCTGAACTCCTGTGCAAAAATCCCAATAAAAAGCCTGACTAGGCAAGGGTCGGGGCGCTCTGTCTGGTGAGAGTTGCCAGGCCGCTCCAAGCCGCTCTCCCCTTGAGAGGGCGGCCAGGCTGTTCTGAGGCTCTCCCCCCCTTGAGGGAGTAGCCGTGCAGGCCCTTTTCCTCCACAGGACCCGGTAGTCCATGTGAATTTGTCTCATGTCTCATCCATGACGCCGTGGGCACTGCTGGTCAGTGCACGAGTCAACATTGTGTCCAATTTATGTATTTAAGGAAGTTCATTCTGGAGGTCTCTCATCTCTAGGTTCTATACACAGAAATTACTGTATCTGAACACTTAAATGTTTCCATTATCCCTACCTTTAAAAATACTTAATATTCCTGCATTAATACTAAAGAAGTATGCCTTTGTCTCATATAAAAAAATTCAGTGCCGGGTATATATCAATTTATCGATATATTTTAGCTCTAATCATAACTTATCCAATGTTGTCAAAGAACATTGAATTCAACTCTGATATATATTATATGAAACAAGGAGGAACTACTATCACAATTATCTATTAGAAAGTATAACTTCTGCTTCCCTATATCCAAAGTCTACCCTAAGCTATACAAACATTATAGCCCTGCTTCAGTGTAACTGTTTTCAGCCTTATCATGCTTCAATCATGTCCCCGACGGATGAGGCCATTTAAGAAGAAACCTAGGCTGCAGGGACACAACATTTTTTGGATAGAACCAAAAACACATTTAGCGTATAATAAATGGTTTGTTTTTATAGCAAATTGTGTTTTAGGAAAGTCCAGAGAGAAAGTTTATTGTTATGTAATTTCCTTTGACAGCCTTTCAAATAAAAGGAATGGGTAGATCAGAGCTCAGGAGTTAAATTCTCAGTAGCCCCTAGGAACTTCATACCTATGGAGAAAAATACAGTGTTATAAAGATATTACCCTCTTATCAAAAGCAACCTTATTTCTATTATTTCCGGTATTTCTTTCTGTTGTTTTTATTATTTTGTAGTAAAGTAAAAGTGTTGGGAGTAGATCACTGATGTCATCCACAGACTGGAGAAGTTGGAGCACCCTGGCTGCACACGGGAGGTGCCTTCTGCAGCCTTGCCGGGCCCCTGGAGTGTTGGCTAATCCCCCAAAGCAACAGTGTACTGTGTTGCCTGAAAACTAAGAAGCAGCTGATTCTAAAATGCATCTTACTTTAGGGACATTAAATTTAAATAACATGCCATTGTACAATCCATGCAATACTGTGGTTTGCATGGAGAGAAGTTTAACATTTTCAAAGGACTAATTTATTTCTAAGAAAGACTTTTCAGTTCAAAGGCCAATTCTAGATTCATATTCAATACTCAGTATTTTCACTGCTTAAAGCCCTTTATACCAATCACACTAAAGTTATTAATAAAGCAATGGTAACATGTTTGTAGAATTTATTAGTGTAAATTAAGATAACAGTGAAGGCAAATTTAAATTAATATAATAATTCAATAATAAATCATAATTTGCATAACTAAATTCAGCCTGTAGACTGAAAGTTGAGCAATGTTTAAATTTTAAAAACAGCATTTGTTCAGGAACAATGTTTGGGTTTCTTATTTGGACAATGAGCAGCATTTAGACCCATATCTGGGATTTTGTATTCAATTCAAGATGCTGAACTGTAAAGATCTTGTCCAGCCACATATCAACAAAGCAAATATTCAAATTTTTAAATGAAAATTAGTATAAAACTATGAAGTACAGGAACTCTGACCTCAA